TTAAAAATGAATTACCTATTATTATTATAAATTACAAGTGATGCGTGACCACGTGCACTCACACATAGCTCCAGGTTGCGATGCTGCGCTCGTTGATGTGACTGGGCAGGTTGACCAGCTGGCTGTAGTAGTCCTGCAGGCTGTACGTGCAGAAGGATTCGTCCACACACTGACTGCCTAGTGGGATAGCCGGACACTGGTGGAGGGCCAGCAGGCACAGCAGAAAGACGCGCAGCACCTAGAAACACAGAAAACCAAGACTGTTTGAAGTGTTGACAGATTTCTCTGCATCAGCTGCCCGGAGATGTCTAGTGTTTGTCCTTTCACAGAACTGTGCACATTTAAACATGTTCATGTGAACAGACACTGACAGTTCATTTTACCTTGATCTGCCTCTTTGCCTCCTTTGTTAAGTCATAGGCAAATAACATGGACTGGCAGGTGTTTCGCTCTCTATTTAAAGAGTTTTATTTCGCTCACTAAATTGTACCAAGTTTCAAAAACTTCAGGTACAGTGAGCTGACTTCAAATGTCTGGTCTGATTTGTGTTGATCTTGTTTACTTACTCTTTGCTTAAAAATGTCCTCATAGTAAATAAATCTGTGTTTATTTAGCCTTTATCAAGTCTTGATGATTCACCCATTCACATATACATTCATATACTGGTGGAATAGGGGGAGACTGGGATTGAGCCGCTTAACTTCAGGTTAATGGGTAACCCAATCTATCTCCTGCAGCTGCAAGGTAAACTAGGAAAAATTTGAACTTCATCTTTACTATAACGAAGCTGCTCACAAGGCCGGTTGTATGTAACCCATGTTGTAGCTGTGGAAAACAATTTTTTTATGACCCAATTTAAATATAAACACAAAATTGGTCACAAAAAAAGAAAAGTTAAGTCAGCATCAACAACAACGTAACGTTAGGTCTCTTACCTGGAACTGTTCCATGTTTAAGGTTTATGAAGTGAACGTGTGATGGAGCTTCTGTTCTTTTCCTTGAGGATGCTGTTTTTTCTCTGTTTTCTTTGGTCCTCGTTCTGCTCTCATTCTGGACCTGCTTCTATATATATAGTCTTTTTTCATGCCATAGCTATTGTCCGACAGTAGTGACGATTGTGTGTGTGTCCAGGTGGGGGGTCACTCCGGTTTCCATCACAACAGTCTGTGACCATGTTCCTGTGATTAGCATTTAGCCTTGAGAGAATAACTTTATTCAGAGAGGACATTAGCGTATTGCGCCAATGTAACCAAGTGAGGCCCCTCACTACTGTCCTGACTCACTTGTCACCGCTCTGACGTTTTGAAAGTCCACTTCTGACTCATCGCCATTTTATGTAAAGTTTTGGAGTGTTTCAAAGTTTCAGCAAGATCCACTGATTTGATCACCCCAAATAAATATTATTTTAACTAGCTAACTTTCCTCCTTGATAAGTAGCTGATCGCAACTGAGCTAAATGCAAATTCAAGACAACCTCACATAGTTCTCATCCCATACGCCTGAAAACATCCATTTACATTTTGTGCACAACCAATCCCCAAATTTTATTTCCAAAATCCCATGAAAAGATCAGGACCATCTATCAACTCTCTACTCTGACTTCTATACACTGTCTGTGACCCTGAATCCAAAGTAAATCTTTAAAAACGGCTCACAAGTTTATACTTTCCTTTAAAAATAATAAATAAATGAAAAGAAGACATTTCCTAAAACAGCTCGAGCAACAATGGTTCATTGGTTTGAGCTCATTAAATATGGTTCGGAATGAACTCAATATAATAATTGTTGGTTGGAGTGTGAACAGTATTAAGTCTATCTGCTATTGATCAGTTTATATTCAACCAATTTAATTGCCTACAAAAAAATGGCATTTGAATGATCTGGATGTCCTGTGACTAAAATGGATTCTGCAGGCTGATTAACACATGTTCTCGTTGGCTTTAGGAAGTTGTACAAGTCGCAAGGGGCTCAATGGAGCATGCTCAGTGCACGAATACACCGGCAGCTTCCAGGGCCAGACGGCACGCTTTAAGATGACTTCTGTTTGTGGACATGTGATGAGTCTGGATTTCATCGGTGGGTATCTTTTACTTTCAGTGTTGCCTTCTTTTTAACCTTGACTGATCTCATATCACAATCAGAAAACACTCACACCTCATCAGATATGATTTAGTTGTCTGAATCTGCATTAGGAATTAGAAAATGATCGGTGCATGCCTTCATAGGATTTCCTCAACTGTCAACTCCTTCATTAGACTACTCATTATGTCTTGCTTTATACAAAAACTAGGAAAGACATTTCCAATTTGATTTGCATTGATTTGGATTTCAACCACCTCAGTGTGATTTGGATTTCTTGGAGTTAATAAGTTGTTTTGCCGTTTACTTTTTTTCAAGGAAAGTACAACAATTGGGACAAGGTGGACCCTGCAGAACTCTTCAGCAAAGCTCCCACAGAAAAGAAGGAGGCCAACCCCAAACTAAACATGGTCAAGTTCCTTCAGGTACATTTTAGAGGTGGACCCAGTAAGTGGTTTCATAAGACTTCATGCTGCTTTCTGTGTGACCTGGAGGTCAGTGTCATGCTTTATTTCTTCAATGCTCACCCCAAGTTTCTGGTGTCATGGCAGGTTGAAGGTAGAGGCTGTGACTACGTGGTTTTATGGCTGGACTGTGATAAAGAAGGCGAGAACATCTGTTTTGAGGTAATTCAGACCCCAATCAACACCTCACAATAACACGTGATCCGTATCAGGCTGTGCCATGTTGATAATCACATCCAAGCCATGGCTCTGTGCATTTCCACATGGTTTTAAAGTGCATTCTTCCTATCTCAATTGTGAATCTGCAAATTATTTCAAATGGATTTACTGACTTGTCAACAAACATGCCCTAACTCTAATCCTAAACCCTCCCTGGTCAGGTTAGGCAATGCTGCTGTACAAGCTCTTATTTTTCCTCTGCTGAAGGAGGGGCCATCAGACAGGCCCCTCTTCCACATTTGACTTTTGTCTTAATTGGGAATTGATTTGATCTGCGTTCACTCCCGGGTCGAGTCACTCTGCAATAGACACAGGTTGTTATTGGCTCTGATCAGCAGTGGTGAAGACATGAATACCTGAGTGAACCTGGTGATGTTTTTGTGTTCGGCCTTTTGGTCTAGAAACTGACCACATAACGGTTTCTGTGCCTGCAAACAGTTTGTTTAATCTGCTGCTCAATTATCATTTCTTTTTGCATCTAAGGTACTGGATGCCATCCAGCCAGTGATGAACAAGGGGAGTTCCATGGATCAGAGTGTTTACCGTGCCAAATTCAGCTCCATCACCGACACCGACATCTGGAATGCCATGAACTGCCTCGGAGAGCCCAACCGCAACGAAGCACTGTCAGTGGATGCTCGACAGGAGCTGGACCTGCGCATCGGCTGTGCTTTCACCCGGTACACTGCTCTCTACAGCCACATACAACAGCCTAGAAATTTGAAGCTTGACTTTAATTCAAATTTGAAAAAATTTGAGCAATAAATGTACATCTTTCTAAGAATATTCACCAATTTGGAGGGGTGACCTGTTGGCTACATATCAGACAAATATGGTCTGTCACTTTAAAACTGTTTCTAATTGCTTTACTGGATAATTTGAACAAGAAATAATCTGACAAAGGAAATTCTAAGGCAAAGAGAGATGCCCCCCAAAACCCGGGGGCAAGTACCTAATTCATTTCGCTGATTATTTCTTTGTACATTTCTGGGAAAATGTATTATATATGTAGTTCACAGAATCAGTTGGTATTAGAGTGAAAAACTTGGTTTGTGATGAGGTTTAAGCATTAACACGACAAAATGGCGCAGAAATGAATTTGCATCTTAAAATGTAGACATGCATGTGATGCTCAAAGAATTTGAAAAACAGCGAAAAGTTTTGCTTTGTTTGATGCAAGTGATGGTTAAACTCCTGGCTCCTCCAGCCTGTATGTAGAAATCTCTTTGGGCAAGACACTGGGCAACCCTAAACATCTCCTAATGGCTGTTTGTATGAATGCACTGTATGAATGTGTGTGAATAGTTTAATATGACGAGTAGTTTGAACAACTTTGAGTTGACTAGAGACTAGAGCAGTAGTTGTAAATGTAGTTTACAAATACTTAAAACTGCCTTTTCTCAATGAAGTAGGAAACAAGACTTCACGCTGAAAAAGCACTTGTTACTATAATGGTTTTACCGAACACTTCACAAGTGATACGTCTTCAAAACAACCACACTCGGGGTTGGGGTCAATTTTCAGTTTCGGAAAGTATAACAGAAATTTTGGAATGCAGTTGTGACGTAAGAAAGATGCAGGGTCAGTCACTAATCCATGTGTAATTGCACCCTTATACAAAGATCTTGGTCCATGTAGTCAAAACTGCCAATTTAATGAAAATAATGATTGGATTCATTAGATTCTTTTAGCTAGTAACACCCTCCTAAAAACAACAGCCTGACATCTGTGGGTCAAATATTTTTCAGGTTCCAGACCAAGTATTTTCAGGGTAAATACGGTAATCTAGACTCGTCCCTGATCTCATTTGGACCATGCCAGACCCCCACACTTGGCTTCTGTGTGGAACGCCATGACAAGATCCAGTCCTTTAAACCGGAGACTTACTGGATCATCCAGGCCAAGGTAAATCTCCACGTTCACTCTCCTTGATGCCGTGTCAATGATCTTTTGCTGGAGTGCTATAGTGAGAGACTGTGTGTGTTCACAGGTGTTCAAAGGAAAGGACAACCCACTGATGCTGGACTGGAACAGGGTGAGGGTCTTCGACAGGGACGTTGGCCAGATGTTTGTCAATCTGGCTAAGACGTCGAGGGAGGCCAAGGTAAGAGCAAAAGCCTAATAAAGCCAAGTTTACCCTGTGCTAACTGGTCACTATTATCAAGTGTATTAACATGTACTGTATGTCATCTAGAGTGACATTAATACAGCCACTTTTCAAATGTAAAACCATTTAATTATACAATGTGTTTGCTTTAAGATTTTATGGTAGTTTGAAAATTTAGAAATATACAACCTGAATAAATGTTTTTCTCCTACTGATAATGATTTAAATGATACAGAACGTCCTGTAATGAATTATAACCTAACAAGTAACCAATTTGCAACATGTGTTTTTGTTATGGTCCTGAAGAATCATGATGATTGATGGTATAAACTCACCTAACTTCAACCTAACCTTAGTCAGCTTGTTTTTTCCATTTTGTTCCTGTGAGGTGAGAACTTTCCCTGACCTAACCTGAGCTCTGATGTAAGCTGTTTAATATGTCTCTTAATGTAGGTGGAGTCAGTGAGTAAGAAAGAGAAGGCCAAGCAGAGACCCCAGGCCTTGAACACAGTGGAGATGTTGAGAGTGGCCAGCTCTGCTTTAGGTACATTTACATCAACAAACGCAGCATTTTGTTTGTGAATTATTTATTTTGGTATTCGGTATTAGCAACCAAGCCCGACAGGTGTTTTGATTTTTCTGTCCAAAACCGGCTCGACCCATTGGGTAGTAGTAAAGGGGTCTTATCACATTATGAGAGGAGAGTTGTTCAATTCATTGAGTATTTTTGAGTATATTAACATTACAATGTAATGTTTAAAAAAAAAAAAAATAAATACCCTAAGAAGCTGTCAACCTTCGATAAATCATGATATTACCATTATAATTTTTATTAATTATATATATTATTTCAATATAAAACCTGGGGAAATTTCTATAGTGGTGTATCCGTTATTTTTGAACAATTACAGCACATTTGAACAATACAGCGATAATACTAATAACCGTTCTGGAAATCTTGAAATACCTCACAGGGAACTGAGAAGCAGTAACTAGGAAATGATGAGCATTTTAGACATAATGGTTTAATTTCAAGATGGATATCATCAAATAAAGATAATTTATTTATGATTTTTAGAGTACATAATAATAAGTTATAATATGTTTTCTCCAAATCTCATTGAAGGACATGAAAAGACCCAAACAAACAATGTGCCAGGTTGCCTCACAATTCTGTCTGACTTATTCAGTTTGTGGCCTTAAGCCCCAAATCCACTGGTTCCTAATGCAGACATAAATATTTAAAAGGACTGCACACATTTATTGGTTCATAACTCAGTATTTTCCTACTGCTGACCACTGTAGTTTTTCTTTGCAAACATCACTGAAACAGGAGGACGTTGTGGTGGTGGTACATTTGTTGGAACATCATTTAGTGGCTCAGTCATACATGTTTGATTTTATAGTGGGTATTTGGGGCAACAGGTGGATTTCTAAAAAATTCTTAAAAAGGTTTTTGTACAACATTGATGCAGCAGAGCAGAGGTCTATGGTACACACACACAATGCAGTTATTTTAACTTATTTAACTTAACTCATTCCTGGTTTTAGTCTTTACAAAATATAATGTATCACAAGCCTTATCCTTTAAAAAATAAAAATCAGTACTTTGTATTTACTAGAATTAGAAAATATAGAAGATGCAAGAATAGAGAATTTTTTTCAGTTGGAGTTAATGGACAAATTGAACAGGAAAAACTCTTACATATATGAAATATTACAAACTTAAAAGAATTACAGACTTCATTCAAGATCACTGTTGTCTGTACTTTCTAATCTCAGAGAGATGCAACTCAACTGCCAGTTCTTAGGTTTGCGACAGTGTAAGCACAAGAGAAAATATTCCTGAGAGGTTGTTTTTTTACTGTCTCAGGCATGGGTCCCCAGCATACCATGCAGATTGCAGAGCGACTGTATACACAGGGCTACATCAGCTACCCACGTACTGAGACGACCCACTACCCAGAGAACTTCGATCTGAAAGGAACACTGAAGCAGCAGACCAACAATCCCTTTTGGGCAGAAGAGGTGAGTGTCACTGTGGGTTCAGGGATGCATTGAAAGTCAGCTGTGTGTGCATACAGAAACTTTTTCATTTTATTCATCCTCATAAGCAAGAAGTGGACACGAGAATTTGTTTCTTAAAACATGTTTCACCTTTCAGGTGAAGGCTTTGCTTTCAACTGGACTGAACAGACCCAGGAAAGGATCTGATGCAGGAGACCATCCACCCATCACTCCGATGCGTGCTGCCTCAGAGGGGGAACTGGGTAGGTCGTGCAACTAATTGCATTATTGATAATAGCAATTGATCATGAATATCACCTCTGAGAGTGAAAGAGAGTAAAGGGAGAGAGGTTTGACATCACCTGTCAAAACAGCCCTTCTCTACGGAGCCCCTCTGGTGACATTTGGGGGAAAACAATTGCCTGGCCACAAGTTAATAATGCATGGGAACAAGATAATAAATTGTGGCCACCAGTTATTAAGTCGTGGGAACAAGATCATAAGTCGTGGCCATGAGTTATGAATCTGTTCTTTAATAAGACCTGGCGAATTGAACTTGGGAGCCTTCTTGAATGAGAGATGAAATGTTTCACTGGGAAACGTTTGCAGTTAGTGGCCAAGCAATATTTTTTTCCCCCCCAAATGTCACTAGACTTGACTCTTTTACACCGATCACTTAACATAAACTTAGATCTAATTGATTATGGTGTTGATTTACTCAAATGACAAACTTTTCTTTTACCTCTGCATGTCTAACCCTGCAGATCTTTTTTTTTGTCCAGATTTCTGCCTCCGTCCCAATTCAATGGAGGTGAATGGAATTTAGTTTGTCTTGCTGTGTCCAATAAAAGATAATCAGCAGAAATGTCAGTGTCACCATATCTAAGCTAAAACAGTGTCCCTATCAATCAAGCACAGATTTTGGCTGCTCCTTTCTTTGACGGACATATTTTCACTCTTGACCTCTAACCCAGGGGCTTTCTCTTCTGCTCGTCCACAGGGAGTGATGGGTGGCGGCTGTATGAGTACATCACACGGCATTTCATTGCCACAATCAGTCAGGACTGCAAGTACCTACAGACCACAATAGAATTCAGCATTGGCCCAGAGGCCTTCTCATGTACCGGCAAAACCCTGATCTCACCAGGTAAGCACTCAGTCAGCTGTGGTCATACAAGTGTTAAAATCGTCACACATGTATTTGTACTTAATTTGTTTAATGTATTTTCTCTTAGCTCTTGAGTAGTTGCTTGTGTGTCACTACTGCTGCTACTACTGTTACAAGTAATAATGTGTTCTTAAACAACATTTCAAAACAATTATCCCCATTAATTTTTTCGATTTGGCGGAAATCCTCTTATTTTAGCATAATCTGATCGTCCCATCAGTTTTCATAAACACGCTATTGTGGTGATCGACAATGTCGCTCACATTTATGAGTGCTAGCCGCCACTGCCACATAGCGCTGGTCACCTGTTAATTAAAGGTGTATTCATATCGAACGTACGTGAACTCGTGTCCAAATTGGATCAAATTCGATACTGCACTTCCTTGGGTCATTAACAGTACACATACCAAGTATGAAGCCGATACAATGGATGGGTTTTATTTGGATGGATTCCATTCGTTCCATTGCAACTCTGAGACACTCTTTTCTTCCCTGAAACATTTTGTGATGCTACAGTTAAATGTATGTAGTTGATTGATTGATTATTTAAGGATGTTTGTGAGTGGCTGATTTACACATTACTCAGGTTTCCCCTGGCTAGAGCATTCCTTATGTTTTATTGATGCAACTAGGTCTATCAAATCAACAGTTTTAAATGTGCTAGTTAGGAAGAACCTTGTGCACAAATGATTTACAACGACTTAGTCCTTGCTAAGTGTATTTTTGATTGATTCCCAGGTTTCACAACAGTGATGCCTTGGCAGGGCATCCCGCTAGAAGAGACCTTGCCAGAATGTGAGCGTGGAGACACTTTCACAGTAGATGAGATCAAGCTGGTGGAAAAGCAGACCAGCCCCCCGGACTATCTGACCGAGGCCGAACTCATCACACTCATGGAGAAACATGGCGTTGGTATACCTCAGCACTGCCTATTTGATAAACAGCGTTTAATGTGTTATAACTGAAAGTCTAACAATCATCCATATAGCTGAGGTTCCATGTTCAGTCTTGACCTTGGACTCAGAGGTTGGGAAAATAATCTCACCACTGGTCCACTGATTTTTATTGATCACGAATCATGATTGATCATGAATTGGTGAAGTCACTTTCTTGGCCACCCACACTAATTCAAATCTCATTGATAAGGTATTGTGGACTTTTATGATTTAAATTATAGAGTGGGAACTCACCTCTTGTTACTGTTCTTTATTAATCTCTACATTTCAATGAGCACTTGCAGCAGAGCATTAATCTGTGAAGGAATAATGATTATACCAGGAGAACAGTTTTACTGTTTCTTCCTCTTGCTGCCAGGTACTGATGCCAGCATCCCTGTCCACATCAACAACATCTGCCAGAGGAACTATGTCACAATCGAGAATGGACGAAAGTTGAAACCAACAAACTTGGGCATTGTCCTGGTTCATGGCTACTACAAGATAGGTCATTTGCCTTTTATTATTGTACAATTTCCTACATCTATAAGAGATTGGTAGATGCTATTCCATTGTAGGTATTTCGAATGTTGCTGAATCATCTTTGAAAACTGTGTGTGTGTTTTACAGATGCAGAGCTGGTTTTACCCACTATACGCAGCGCAGTAGAGAAGCAACTGAACCTTATTGCACTGGGTAAAGCCAACTTCCAACAGGTCCTTCAGCATACACTAGATATCTTCAAGAGGAAGTTTCACTTCTTTGTGGATTCTATCACTGGTACGTTCACTGCAACTCTGTCAATGTATGCAAAAAAAAAATGTCACTTGACATAAACAAGCATCTGCTCTGACGTCATACTGTAGGCTGCAATGTAGCTACAACAAGGCTACTGTTTTGAAGTACCATGTGTTGACCATAAGAATGGGTATTGGCTCCTTATGTTTTCCGTTTGTTTCTGATTCTGTTGGACTCTGTTGAATTTGAAGAAAAAACAATCAATAAAGTTTTATTTGTATAGCCCATATTCATAAATCAAGATTTGCTTAACAAGGTACAACCCCTATCAACAAGAGTGGAAAAAACATTTTAACAAGGAAAAAATGTAGAAACCTCAGAGATGGTTGCAAGTGGGGAATCGTTCTCCCAGGCCAGACAGAAGTGTGATAGATGTGTAACGGAGCACATCAGCACAATAACAGTATTTACAACATAGAAGAGAAAACAGAAATGAAGGGAGCGGTAATGGCTATTTTAATGATGTATTGCAAATAATATTAGAATATGTGAGTAGGCATATTGGATAGCAAAACAATCTAGTTGTAATCATTATCTACCATCAGCTGCCACCGCGATTAACACTATGGTTACATCTGCGATCCCAGATCTGCAACGATAAAGCACAAGGAACTCTGGGGATGAAGACAAGTCGGTATTAATGAGATATTAATGTGGTGATGAGGAAGAGGAGGAAAGACAAGCTCTGTGTGTCATGTGTCCCTTGACAATCTAGTCCTACAGCAGCCTAACTAAGAGCTGGTTGAAGACAGACCTGAACCCGCTGTAACTATAACCCTAATCAAAAAGAAAGGATCTAAGCCTACTCTTAAGCATAGTCTGTGAAGTTGGGGATTATTTTCTTTTTAAGTATCCTCTAATAAAGCAATTACAGTACATTGCAAACCCTCTGCTCACTATATGAATCAATGAACATAAAGCATAGCCACTGCACAGCGGTCCTCTCTGTCTTAGTAATGATGCATGGGGAAAGTTTTATAGTGGATATATCGTGCATAGTTTAACACATCTAATGCTCAAGTTTAATTCAGCTGAACCCCAGTGAGCTAAACTACCTTGCTGTCGTCAATTCAGTTTTTTCCCACAGTGTTCTGCCCTTGACTATGCATCGAACTCGCAGACGTAATGAATGTCAATGAATGAATATTAAGCTTAGTAGTTCATAATGTAAGTCATGCATCTTTATATTACTATCTGTTAACTCTTGTGCAACTCCAGCTCACAGTGTATGTCTTTGTTTTATAGGCATGGATGAGTTGATGGAGGTCTCCTTTTCCCCCATTGCTGCCACAGGAAAGCCACTGTCCCGCTGTGGCAAGTGCCGCCGCTTCATGAAGTACATCCAGGTCAGCAGAACAGTCTAAAGTAAATCAGTTAAACAGTGTATATTTCAGATGTGATCATCAGCAAGTCTACATCATGACATCATGTTGGCCGGACATCTTCATCCACTGTGCCCTGGTTCTGTGCAGTGGCAGCAACAGCATGACACCGGCCAACCTCCAGGATATGTTTAAAATTTGATGTCACTCTTTAATTGTTGGCAATTAAATATGGGGATAAGCCAAATCGGCAACACGATGTTGGCGTCTAATAGAGCTAAGTGCGCTATAAGCCAAAGCGGCGTCATTTTCTATAGCCTCCATAAAGGAATTAAAATTTTCACAATGTTCCATGTAAACACCATATCCTGAATGTGATCAATATCAGGATGAGACTCACAACTGGGATTCTAGTGCCCATGAAATCAAGTGCTAGTGGCAACCAGCAAGCCCTGGTCAGAAGACCTCAGTGCCTGACTGGTGATAAAAGATAGAAGCAGGTCTAGGATGTACAGGTGCCTGACCATGCAGTGAGAACAAGAACCGTTAACTTAATTGAACTTAATTGGAAGTGATTGTGAGTAATATAGGGTAGGTGTGATGTGGGGGATATTGCTGGTCATCTCCCCACTTGCTACTGCAAATCCTTGTAGAAGTCCCTGTGCCTGACCATGCACTGCTCTTTAACAACAGGGTAAGGAATTAGTGACGGGATAATGCTTATAGTGCTGCTATTTTTATTTTGGGGATTGATCATTGTATGATAAATATGAAGGTGGAAAAGAGCTTTAAAATGAGATTTCTCTGTGACAGACATTGAAAGAGATATGACCAGTCAAAGTCACACAGTTCCCCCCAAACTATTTCAGACTCAGTTAGGCCTTGTGGTTTATATTTTCTCTTAGTCATTTTCTCCTTCTTTTTGTGGAACAAAGTTATTATTAATTCTTAATTTTCTTATTTAATTATCAATTTGTTTTCCTCATTCCTAATTTTCCGTTTAAATAATTCACTCTGTTTATAATCAGGTAGAACTTTAACTATGCAATAATTGAATCAGTGTGTATGAAAGTATAGTGGCATTAAAATATACCGATGGCAAAAAATTGGGGCTTTTACGGCCCAATGCTTTCTCCAGGGAAGGCACTTTATCCCACTTGCTGGCTGCTTTATATCCTTGTGGAAAGCCCTGGGATTGATCATTAAGGCACCATTTATTGTCCTTTCTGGACCACATGATGTCTGGCAATTGAGCTCTGGCCTCCAAAGTTCAGCTGACATACTTAATCACCATTTCCACCTGATGGAAGAACCACTTTTGAATTCATGAATAAACCATGAGGCTGCAGATCTCAGTCATTGCCATTCTATCTGAATACGTGCGTAATAGGTTGCGTGTTCTCGTGGAAACCACGAGGTCGGCCTTCTATGAAGTCCTCTGAGAGGTACGACAGACGAGAAACTGTATGTCAGTGTCAGTCCTGAAAGGGTACTTTAAAAAATCAGCACATGTAACTACTGATAGTCACATAATGGTTTCACATGCTTCTGTAATGTTAAGATACACCAACAGTGGCTTTTAGCACCCTTTATAGTATTAAAGGTATGTGAATGGAATAAATCAAATTCTTTGGCCTGTATGTTTACAACGAATAACCGATAATGCCTTTGGAAACACATGCTTGCACATGCATATGCTGTTACCATATATAACTAAGGACTTTTTACCTTTTCATATAACTTGAAACTTGGTATTTGGTCCACTGATTTTTAGTGACGTGGCAGCAGCATGAATGTAGAGAATATCTCCTGGACTGGGACAATACATGCTCAACTGACAAACTATTTTCTTAGTATTGTTTAGGTTTTGAGAAAGGTGTTCAGTGTGAGGTTTTTTAGTAAAATCTGATATCTACTGACATTGACTGAATATACCTTTAAAATTAATGAATCAATACAAATGTATTTGTATAGCCCATATTCACAAATCACAATTTGTCTCATAGAGCTTAACATGGTGTGACATCCTCTGCCCTTATCCTTCAACAAGAGTGAGGAAAAACCTAATTGAAAAAACCTTTTAACTGGGTAAAAAGAAAGTAGAAACCTCAGAGAGAGCCACATGTAAGGGATCCCTCTCCCAGAGTATTTACAGCATTGATTAGAATAAACAGTTTGTAGCATGATAGAAGGTAAATTAATTGAGGAATTATTGTCAATAATGGTAGAGTATCTGAGCAAGCATATTGTATATCAAGCACTCTTGTTGTAACCATAGTCTACGATCAGCAGCCACCCCAATCAGGATCCACCATCACTATCAGATGCCACCATAGTCAACAATCAAAGTATAACCAAGTCAACAGTAAAGAATTGCCATCAAGTCTGGGATGATATTTAAGAAAGGTCATGCACTGGATTTGAACCAGTGACCTTGCAGTCTACAGTAAACACTGAGACTACCAGGACTGATCCTGAACACATCATCTATGATCACAGGCTGAATTATAAATGCAACCTGGTGTATGAGAACTAATGCAGTGGAAAGTTAAATATTCACCTTCATTTCAGTTTACGGATAAATCCCTATGGGTAAATATACAGGAAATTAATCTGAAATCACATTTGATTTTGTAAAAGCAAGAATTGCGTCCTCAGTTTGGTACCATTTAAACATTGGAACATCTTTGTGTTCTGTTTTTAATGATGTATTAGTCATTCACAGTGGAAACACAACATGGAACATAGAACCAGTGTTGAAAGACTTTCAGTTTCAGATGAAGTCACCCCAACAAATTGCCTATGTGCATTCAAGATGGTATCATGAGCAACATGGTCAACAGTACCTTTATTAATATGCAAATAAAGCTTCACGATCAACCACAAAGAAATGAAAACAACAGCCCACTGTGACCACAGTACCATAAAACTGGTTAGATGAAGACTGTCCAGAAGGTTTGACACAAAGTGAAAAATTGTTTCATCACATCTGATCCTAACATGTATCTGCAGGCCAAGCCCAGCAGGCTCCACTGTTCCCACTGTGATGAGACATACAGTCTCCCACAGAATGGAGCCATCAAGCTGTACAAGGAGCTCCGCTGTCCACTGGATGAGTTTGAGCTGGTGCTGTGGACCTCTGGGGCCCGGGGCAAGAGCTACCCGTTGTGCCCTTACTGCTACAGCAACCCGCCTTTCAGGGACATGAAAAAAGGTAGGAGAGAAACTTGTTTCTTAATTCAATCATTCTTGTTGTTGTGAAACCTTCTAGCCCTAGGAATCTGAACTCACACAGGATCTTAGCTCTGTTGCTCTCAACCACCTTCGCTGGTATGTCCCATTTGTGTACATCTAATTCATACTCAGTACAGATGTTCTTGTACACTATCCCAGTTAACCAACTGCTGAATACAATTAATTATGGCCTTTAAACCCAATGAAACCAAAATGTTAATTTAAACACCATTTTCTTTGTTAATCTGACCATTAGTGCTTTTTTTTCAGGTATGGGATGTAATGAATGTACTCATCCATCCTGTCAGCACTCTCTCAACTCTTTGGGCATTGGACAGTGTGTGGAGTGTGATTCTGGGGTTTTGGTGCTGGATCCCACCTCTGGACCAAAATGGAGGATGGCCTGTAATAAATGCAATGTGGTGGTCCACTTCTTTGAACATGCACATAGAGTGCAGGTAAGAACAGTCCTACATCTAGTCATGATAATCTTCACATATAAATGTATATAGGCTTCACCAACCAGAAAAGAAAACACAAATATATGAACATCTGATTTCTCTGATCAATGTCATAAAAGGTTATGTTAATATCAAAATGTGATTACAGTTATTCAAAGCTACTTTAAAACTCAGTTGTGATCTGATTTGAACTCTGCTCTTTAATGTTCCATCATTGAATTTATGGTGCTTTTTTTCAACTCTAACAGTTTCTCTTGATCCCATGTGCTTCTTTCTTTCCTTAGGTTGCTCAGGAGAGCTGTGACGCCTGTGACGCCTCTCTGGTCGCTGTTGACTTCAACAAGACTCGCACTCCGCTTCCTGCCGGTGAGACCCAACACACAGGCTGCGTTTTCTGCGATTCAGTTTTCCAGGATCTGGTGGAGCTCAAACATGCCACCATGAGGTACCGGGGTGGGGGTGCGAGAAGAGGACGAGGACGAGGCCGGGGACGCCGTGGTAATCCCAAAAAACCTAAGGACAAAATGGCTGCCTTGGCAGCTTACTTTGTATAATGTCAAGTGTTGTATGTCCTATTTGCTTGGCTCAGTATGAAAGAGTACATGCCAGTAAGTAGAGCTTTGTTTTCACTTGTGTTTAATTACAATCAAGTAAACTATACATAAAAAAAAGTTTGTGTGTTGTTTGTGATGTGTTTGTTCACCAATATAATTCAGTTCACCAATAAATTGATGAATTACATAAAAAGGTAAGTAATAACAAGTGTGGTGGATCAAAAATAATCAGACTTAATTTAAATTTCAAAATGTGGATATTGTATCCAGCATTGTGCTAAGAGATGAGTAGAAAAGAGGGTCTCATTACCACACCAGGAAGGATGCTCTTTCTAGTAAATTCCCTAAACAAAGCTTTTGGGTGATACTAGTGGTACAGAACTACTCATGGCTTGGACAAAACCAGCATTTGTGGATCAATGATACGTCTGCTTTTTTTTTTAAACATCAGTCGCATTTCCTCACTCTTGCTGAGGGTTTAGGGGCAGCTGCTGTTGCACCTTGTTAAGCCCTGTGCGACAAATTGTGATTTTCGAATATGGGCTATACAAAAGATGTTATTGATGCTGACCTCTGGGTCAGTTTGGTCAGTCTTGAATCGGGAGAGAGAGGTTTAATGTAAAATATGAATTAATGTTCTAAAACCAAATTTCTCCTAGCTCTTGAACAGGTAGTCTCAGCTTACTCTGTTGAATCTGTGGAGAGAAGGTACCCTGTGTCTTTATCAGGGGAGTAAAATGTTGAATATGTTCTGGATATAAAATGTTTTAAGTTTGTCGGACATTGGGGTGTCATAATGGGTAGGTTACACTCAAGCAAACATGTTAGAGCTTTAACCATAGTTCAGTAATTATAATTTAATAGAGATATTGGATTGCATCATCTGTATTTTAAATTATTCTATCTTGCAGCAATCTTATACAGGCCTGACTAAAAGCCCCCACTCAAAAGAGAAATTACACTTTAAAAGGCGTTAGTGGCCATCCACAGTAGAAAGGTGCTATATTAATACAGACTGTTTACCAATTACACATGGATTGAACAAGAAAATAATCAGCAAATCAATGAATAAGTAAATATCAATATATTTTCTAGGAACATTAATCAATGGCCTGTTAATCCTTTGTAGTATTAGAGGACATTTTATGTCTAATGTTCTATGTGTAACTCTACAGCCATCACCACATTGGCAAAGTGTGGCCCTTTAAATACTGTATATAGAGGAGGGAAGACGGAAGTATGATGACGTACCGGAGAGTGGACCAATGGGAGGCAGAGTCCGCTGCAGCTCGCTCCACACTGACTGAAGTCTGCGTTGTGATTTAATCATCAGTGTTTCACCATCAGCTCCACCAGCGCAGGTTTGTATGTGCGTGCGTGTGCGCGTTATATGCTCATCTCGTACACCGTGGTCCATCCATCTGTCTGTCTGTCTGTCTGTTTGTGCGTATTTGTGGTTTGTGTGGGCGGACCACCACACTACAGTCTCTGCTAACCTAGCTAGCCCCAGCTAATGTAAAGTAACAGGCTCGTTGCTTAAATGAATCACGTTTTAACAAAGTCAAGCAGTAACGACGATAGTGGTGAAGGAACATCCATGACGGGGTCATTGTTCGCGTTCCACCCGTCGCTAGAACTACGGAAGCCCCGAGGCTCGTACCATGGTTACTGCCATAAACTGTAATGGAAAGGTGGCCACTCAGTCACTACACGTCCAACTTACACACGCAGGAACAACATGCTGAAGTGTGAAGTCACATAATGGAGCTGCCGCCTCATTTTCTCTAGCCGAGCTACACGACTTCATCTACCTTCTTTGAATTCTTTGACCGCACAATGTCGTGATATAGTTAATTTAACCACAAGCACAGTTTGCAAACTCTTTCCATCGCATGTGTGATGTTTGTCAAAGTGTTGCTCAACCCTGTGTCACACTCAATATCTTTGTTGGAGCCAGTGGGGCAACTCCCAGTCTGCAGTATCCGGCCGGATGCAGATGAAGTTGGGCCTGTAGTCGCACTGTGTTGAGCTGTTTGTGGGTAAAGTTTGTGACACAACATGGTGCGTGTCTCTGTTGTGTCACTGAACCACTTTACTTTGTGTTCAATGCAAATCCACCGCACAACGTGAGACCGCTACATACTAGTACTGTGCAACGGAGTACACTGGGGAAATAATATTTCATAAGATGCACCACAAAACACGCATCTAATTGAAATGGATTGATGATGAAATTCCATTTCTGATTGACTTTGAAACAGAAGCCCAAAGTCTGGTTTCAAGTCAGGCTAAATCAGTCTGTGAAAATAGGGCAACAGTGCAGGTGACACGATGTTAAAGCTTTTTAACCTGAAATGTTGTAGGTTATCTGAAGAGGAAAAATAGATAAACATGTACGCAGGTCAAATATCCGAGGAATACTAAGCAACATGTTGACACCTCCATGTAAATGAAATGAGTCTAAAGGCAACTTTATTTGATTTGAATAATGAGTAATAGACAAAGACTGTATATGGTAACAGAGAGTAGTCTGTGCTATGAAAATATTTTGTCAAGACCTATAAAGGATAGATGTTCAATACCCAACCTTCAGAATTCCAGGGTTAGGATTACATTAGACAGATAAATAGATGGATAACTTTATAAATCCCTGGTAAGAAATTAAATCATCATAGCAGCCAGGTATATGAAAATACAATGAAATTCAAGGTAAAAATACATAAGAAAAGAAAATGCACAAGATGCAGCAGAAATCCAACACATGTTGAAAATATGACAGAAGGCAATGTTTTACATTAATGTATTAAAATATAATGATTGATGTCTGCACATATCACACATTTTGATACTACCAGGGAAATCAAATCACTGTGTGAATTGTATGCTACATCATTTTCCTATCACACACTGTCAGGGTGTAATTTAAAGCATTCTTTCTCTGCTGGTACAGTTTGCACTTGTGAACATTGAGCCCTGATCCTCTGTTCATTCGAGACCGCGCTGCAGCCATAGTCAGCGAGATGGAGGAGGAGACCCGGTCTTTCTTGGGGAGGTTTGTGGACGAGTTCCCAGCTGCTCTGGAGGAAGACAGTCCGCTGCCCGTCAGCCCTCTGAGTCGCAAAGTCTCTCTGGAAGAGCTGCATGGAGAGAGCCTGGAGCTGGGCCTGAGGCTGCTGACTGCCAGGTATGACCGGAGGGAGGAGCAGCGTCTCCCACAAGCGCCGGCTGTGCACCTAATAACTGACTGCTCTTGTTGTGGCCTTGGATTCTGATTCCCTGTTTGATCTGTATAACTGGCCATATTTGAATACAAAGCCGTGACTTTCTCCTTTGTTTGTATGAAGTAATACATTTTCTACTTCCTAATTTTCCTTTTAATTGATTGACTGCATGTCAACAATCAGGAGGAAATCTCATGAAAATATGCAATATTTAAGATCAGTGTGAAAGAAGGAACGGTGGTATTGAAATGCACCTGAATTTAAATGATCATAGGATAAGAAGTCTAGTTTTTACATCTATGGCACAGTTGTGAGGTTTTTCGTCAGTTTCTTTTCACACCATCGTATTTTTCAGTGTCATATTATTAATATATGTGCCTGTACTTGTAAATATATCACTGTGAGGACATTTTGGACTCGTCCTCACTTTCTGACATACTTTTAAGGGCTGTTTCAGGGTTAAGATTTGGACTAAGGTATAGGATTAGAATTAGGTTAGGGTTAGGGATTGAGTTTGGATGGTTAATGTTAGGGTTAGGGGCTATGGAATGCATTATGCCAATGAGTGTCCGCACTAAGGGAGATGTACAAACGTGTTTGTGTGTGTGTCTGCATTCTACTCATTCCTGGCAGCTCTGTTCTTGCCCTGCTCATGCAGTGTGTGGTTGATAGGGTGGAGTAATAGTTGCTGATACAGTGTGAAACTGCAACCAGGCTTAGTTGGGCTTGTTGTCTGGGTTCTGGGGCTCCTGGGTGGTTTGTGAAGCTCTGGGCCACTCACAAGAAACAGAGAAGCTAGCTCGACCATCAATAACAGCAAAACATACTGGAGAACTGTTGTTCTAGTTTTTTATCTTTTCATATTGAGAATAATAGAGAAAAGTCTGGTCTCATCCCTGGTGTTTTTATTACTTCTGCCATTGTGTGCAAGTTGTCTGAGGTCATTAGTCTCCCTCTCTTCTTAGTAATATTCTAAGTGAAGAGTCTATGAATGAACCTGCTTTACTGCAGAGACACTATTGTTGTCCTCACTTCCTTTTTTCTATGCAGCAGAAATTAAATGACAGAGATGATCTCAGACATCTAAGGCAGGCCGTTTCCAGCAGCTGCCTGACCCAGTGCTGCTTTATCCATTTGTTTTTGCTTGTTTGTCTCTAAACTCAGGTGCATTTGTCAGCTCTGGCTGAACACTGTGTGGCTGACTGCATATCTCGAACGAAGGACACAACATGTGTTTCTCCTGGTGTTTGTTATTTCAGGGGTGCTCCTGCAGTCCTCAGTGCCCTCCTGTGCCAGGCAGCGTTGTCTCAGCTGCTGCAGGATGACCTTTCACGTTTCCACTGCCCAGAGGAAACTGAGGCCAACCAGGAAGAAGAACAGAAAGCAGTCTGTGAGTTTGAGGTTTATTTTATTACCTTCACAAAGAGGTTTTGTTTTTGTCTTTGTTAGTTTATGTGTTCGACAGCAGGATTACGCAAAAACTACTCATCAGACACAGAAAAAAGTACTCATCAGACACAGGGACATGACTCAAGGAAAAACCCATTCAATTTTGGAACAGATCTGCATTAGTGGGGGGGATCCCAGTTTTTGTTTTGTTTTTCACTTTCTCTGCAGCAGGGGCGCAAAAGGATGCTCTCACATGCAACAGATTCTGAGTGACAGATACATAGAATAAAGAGAGAAAGAAGTTCTTGTGGGAGGGAGAGAAAAACATCACAGCAACGGAGCAAAACACCAAGTTAGAGATCTGAAGTGTAAAAAGAAGTGTTTATTATGAACATGTGGTAGGACAAATTAGAACATGGCAAACTGCCAAAGGTCTTGATAATTAAGGGAATACACTGCTTTGACATGGTGAGGGGGAATTAGCCTGGCAGGGGTATGCACTCTCCGCTCTGAGCTCAGTTCTAGTTGCTCATTTTGCTGTTGTTAAAGGTTATTGTGTAGAATTTAGTGACATCTAGTGGTGAAGTTGCATGTTGCAGCTGAACCTCACCCATTAACGAAAAGAATGTCCTGCTTTCTCTGTCTGCTGATAAAAGACTCTATGTCCCATAGACAGACTAAGAGATGAGATGTCTGCTATGAACAGCTGGTCGTTTTCATTCTCTTACTTGTGTCCTGTAATGTACTGTATTGACCAACAGCAAAAAGTAAGAACCCAAAGACTGTGGTTTATGTCTTATTTATTTTTGTTTTATTTAATCGTCAGTACTTCAGTCAGAGGCAGTCCAACGTCTCTTCCTCAATAAGCTGATAGATGTAGCGCTGGCGTGGCATCAAAACTTCCTCAAGCCTTCCCCGTCCCCTTCCCAGTTCCGCCGCTGCTCTGTTCATGCCATCAAGAACACAAGGAGAAAGATGGAGGACAAACATTTGGCCTTAGCTGAGTTTAACCAGCTCTTCGGAATCCAGGTACAACACTTATTCTTCTTTCTCCTGTTATTTAGTGATTAAGAAACTTGAAAAATACAGAAATCAAAATGGCTATGTGATTAAACTTTGCAATAGAAGGGGTCTTCCAAGTACCTGCATTTTTATTTTTGCTCACTATCCCTTGATTTATATGTGCAAATGCTTCATATCTTTAGGTATCTAAGGTAAAAGGTTATGTAAGTCAATACATTTTGATAAATGATGACTGGACTTGTATTAGACTGAAATAGGGTTAGGGTGTTAAGTAAAAAAAAAAAAATTGCATCCTAATTTTTTTAAATAAACACATAAAACATTGATCCAAAATATGTCTTTATGTAGAAAAAATATATTTCTGAACACAGAATAAATTATTTGAACTATGGACATTTTTAGTTTTGTCTCTGCTCCTCTCCCACCACTTTGATACCACTATGATATGCATACAACAATCTTACGCTCACAGGATGTCTTTTCATAATGTTGATAAAATAGGTCAAACATCTACTTCTTTCTCTCTTCACACAATGGCCCAGGATGGAGTGGAGCGTGCCTACTACGCCATTTTCGATGGACATGGAGGGGTGGACGCTGCCACCTACACAGCAACTCACCTCCATGTTGCCTTGAGTAAACAGGAAATGCTCCAGAGCGACGCAGCCACTGCCTTTAAAACTGCCTTCAAACGCACAGATGACATGTTCAGAGACAAAGCAAAGAGAGAGGTACTGACGTAGCACTGATTACACCCTGAACACACTGCCGTCCGCCGGTACTTACTCCTGACCTTACACACACTGGTGTGAGTGTGCCACTGGAATATTTACTGTACAAAATTAGAACTTACTAAGATATATACACATTTAAAGGGATAGTTAACAGAAAAATGAAAGTTCACTCATTATCAACTTAAAGGTCCAGTGTGTAAGATTTAGGTGAAAGGGATCTATTGGCAGAAATTTAATGCAGAATAATCCTCATGATGTTTTCACTAGTTTGTTTCATCTAAATTGTATGAATTGTAGTTTTCTTTACCCCAGAAAAGGTCCTTTATATTTAAATACTTTATATTTACATGGAGGGGACCCTCTCTACAGAGGCCGCCATGTTTTTTACATTAGTCCAGACTGGACAAACTAAACACCTTTTGAGTTTTTATGACAACTGAAGCTACCACAGGTTATTTCTCATGTTTGGAAGGAGAGGGTGAGGTGAGGGGTGTTCAGCTGCAACATGCAACTTCAACACTAGATATCACTAAATTCTACACACTGTACCCTTAACACTATGCCGATGGAGGTGTGGGTGAAGTTTTTGAGTCCACAAAACACTTAAGGAGTTTCAGGGGTAAACAGTGTTAGAGCTAAAGTGAACTCTTCTTCAGACGTAATAAAATAACCTCCATACTGCTGGTGCGGTGCCATCCAAGTGTCTGCAAGCCCCGACATTCGGTGTTTTAAGCCTAAAAGTCCATTACATGAAATAGCGATGCTAGCTGATGTAGCCACACAAACCCAGCAGGAGCCCTTGGGTGAGAGTGTGTGCAGTGTTCGAGTGTGCCCATGCGTATGTGAATGCACCCCCGAGGAGCCTATCAGAGGAAATTTAGGCTTAAAGCGTGCTGTAAATAAAGTCATTTTGAGTCGGGTTTGAATGTCTGAGCTTGTGGACACTTTGATGACCACATGAGCAGTATGGAGGCATGTTATTTTTTTTTCTGTTGTTTTATTACGGCTGATGAAGAGATCACAATTGATTTCAATTGTATTGGATTCTGCTCCAACACTGTTTACCCCTGAGACTCCTTAAGTGTTTTGAGGACTCTAACACTTCAACCACTCCTCCATCGGCTTAGTGGTGAGTAGATAATGAGGGAATTCTCTTTTTTCGGTGAACTATCCCTTTAAAAACTGTAACAAATTTGTTGATTTAGGTAAAATTCAAAATATAACCCCACTATTCATTTTAAGGCTTTTGGATTAAAATATTTTTAAATTCCATTTACCTTTTATGATTCTATCTACCCATCATATTCCATTTCACAATTTGATTTTGTATGTGGTGTGATCTTTGATCATTTATAGTCTTCACTTCATACTTGCTTTTATTAAAAATCAGTTGTCTTGCTTTTTAAAGGTATGTGAACTCTGTGTAGCACCTCAACATTAAAATCAATCCCGCATGTGTTGTGAGTGTTGCTTGTCCCAGTGTGCATCGCGGCAGAGAACCTCAGGGTGATTAATAACCTGTGTGTTGTCAGCGTCTGCGGAGCGGCACTACAGGCGTGGCAGTGCTGATCCAGGATCAGGAGCTGACTGTGGCCTGGCTGGGAGACTCTCAAGCAATGCTGGTCCGAAAGGGAGAAGCTGTAACACTCATGGACCCCCATAAACCAGAGAGAGAAGTAAGGATACATCTCTCTCACACCTACACACACATGTGCGCACACACACAAACACACAACAACACAGATATCTCTGGAGTGTTCAGGTGAATGGTGGTGCAGAGGCAAGATGTTTCATCAACATGTCCACTCACTTGTGGTGAATCTGTATCTGCTGAACTCTCACAAGGGCTCACTCAGACATTATCAAGAGTTTCTACTTGGAGGCTGGCAGGAGAAACTCTGACTCTGTGATTTGCGTTCTCTTATACACACCCTCCGGTTGATTTCAGAAGATTATCTGGAATTTGTGGGTGTTTTATACAAAATGTGACTTCACAGTAAGGCACTTGAATCCATTTTTAACATGTTTGACTAAGCCATTATCATTACAGACAAGTTGGTTATCAGATTCAGCACATTAACAGTCAAAGAGAAGCCATAATAAATGTGCATTCAGGCGTGCACTGAACTCCGGAGATCTTCTGCATTTTCTCTGGAGGCGGTGCATGTGTGAACGCAAATGAGAGCCTCCAGACTTTCTGCGGACTTTCTCCGCCTGGCCGCCTAGTTTAAAGTCAGCAGAAAGTTTGCAGAATCCAATGTTGGAATACAGCAGGAGATCGTCGCTGGATTCACCGCGAGCAAGCGGGATGGTTGATAATGTCTCTAGCACGAGTCAGATGCAAAAATATCTCTGGTGAAAACACGGTGTCATACACGTGCAAGACATCAACAAAGATGTCAAGAGAGTTTGTGGTGATAAGAGGCTACATCGGTGTCGATGTGCCATAAGCAAAATCACGTGATCTCCTCAGCGGAATTCATACCTCCTGCCTCTGCCTGCTACTCCACCCCTCACCTGGATCCCATGGATTATTTGTTGTTGTGAACACTTCTGAACACGGAGCCTCCCACTGCGTTGTGCATGTGTGAAAGGCAAACTGCGCATAGAAGTTGATGAATTGCCCTCTGTCTAAACATTTGTCTGTTTCATGTGATTATGACTTAAAAATGATTTGGTTAATCCAAAAAACAATCATCAAATTAATTAATACATTAGATAATTAGATGATGCATGTTCCAATAACTTCAAATACAAGTTCAGATATAATTAATGATGAAAAGGTAAGCTCTGTCTCTTTTTCCCCCCACTGTCCAGGATGAGAAACAAAGAATTGAGGATCTTGGCGGCTGTATCACCTTCATGGGTTGCTGGCGTGTTAATGGCACCTATGCTGTATCGAGAGCAATAGGTAAGTCAGTCACAACCAGCAGGACCTGAAAAGTTGTGCTGATACAAACAGGGTCTCCACCCTTGTTGATAGTGAGCGCCCTCTGCTGGACAAACTACTGCAGCTGGTCTGATACGCTTCTAGACTGTTTTTAATTTGAATGGGTCATTCGCCCCATGTTCGAATGACAGTCCTACATGGTGATGACCAGGAAACCATAAATTAAGATTCTGCAACACCTGTGATCAGTTTTTTTGCAGTAAAGCAGAGAATATCCTCACTTATTATAGGTTTGCAATATGCAACATCACCACAAGATGCCACTCTGGACCTTTAATTCAGAGATTGATTTCTCATGGGTCTGTATCCTCTCAAAATTGTACATATTTTATAAATAATTTTTGGAGGATAACGTTTTATTTCTTTTTTTGAAGACTATGTTTCACACAGCTGATCACTGGTTGTGAATAAAAATGTTATAGCCATGAGACAAAAAAGTTACTGCTACTGTTCTCAGCTATATAACTGCAGCTTAGAAATATGACAAGAAGGGACATAGCTGAATGTGTAATTTGTTGTCATCTTTAGTTTAACAAATGAATCACAAAAGATTATTTCCCATTTAAAAAAAACTAACTAGGAATTAATGTCTTATTGGATGTCCGCGTGTTCAACATTTACCGGTGATTTAATAAAGATACCCTCAGGTCTGGACTCAGTCTGCTTGAGGATTTCCTGCTGTACTTGGCTGCAGCTGCTGATCACACATTCATACCTTTCCTCCAGGTGACTTTGACCAGAAGCCCTATGTATCTGGAGATGCTGACTGCTCGACGATCCAGCTGTCCGGAGACGAGGACTACGTGTTACTGGCGTGTGATGGCTTCTTTGATGCAGTCAACCCTTCAGCAGTCCCAGATCTGGTCTTGGATGCACTCCAGCAGCCTGGTGACCCTGACGGAGGAGACACTCAGCAGAAACAGTCTGAGGAGATTATTGGACTGAGAGTCGCTCAGCATTTGGTAAGTCATGCTAAGGCAGCTGGCTCTAGTGATAACATAACAGTGATGGTGGTGTTCCTGCGTTCGCCGATGCAGTTGCTGTCTCAAGACCCTACCACAGGAACTGCACAAGATACTGAGGACTCCACTTCCCAAGTTGCTGCAAAGCAGTGAAGGAGGATATCTACTGTCTAGACACCACTTTGCTAAGCTACTGCCTGAATCAGTATATGTCAGCCTTTTTGCAAAAAGACATCCTGCTGACTGACAAAGTTCATTTGATGCTAATGACGCAGCAGGTTGTTGTCACAATACGTAACTGCTTTGGAGCAAAATAGCAGATTCTAGTGTAACTAAATCAGACCACTTGGTCACAACGGTCTGATGGATGCAGGGCGAGAGGAACCTGTACAGCTACCTGTAATAGAACAGCACATACTGAGTCCCCAAATGTGTTCTTACAATAGGGATGTGCACTTTTTATCTCACCAATAACCAGTACTCATTAAGTAACCATTATCCGACAGGAAACTATTTTTACAAGGATTCATTTTTAAATGTGCAAACAGCAGGTTAAACAATAAAATAGAACAATAATTCTACAGTTTTTGATTTTTGATTAGGCTACCTAGACTGTGTCCGCCCACCAAAATCAGATTTGTCTCCTATTTACATACAAGTGTTGCACCGTTGTGTCATTTTAAAGCTGTGTGCAATGCTCTTTACATCACTATCTGTCTCTTGCCTCTCTCGCTCTCGGACTATCCATCAGCAGCATTGGGATCAGTCCTGCCGCCGAAGTGCCCCAGTGGACCATTAAAACATCCATTATGTTTTACCATCCTGAGCAGTCACGCAAACCTAATATTGGTTCTAATTTTTGCTTTGGTGATCATAAAGGTAAACTGCTGCATGTACAGTTTGCAATGACATTAATCAACCTCCATAACATACCAGGCCAAAGCGGACATCTTGTCTGCTGGTTTTTATTCCGAAACAGCAACATGTCCACTTGTGAATCCTTTGGCAGAGAATGTTCAATCAGATGATACTGATGTCCCACAGTAGAGATGGAGTTTATCTTATCTAAGAGTGGTCAGCCACATTAAACATATCTGATTTTTAAAAGATTTCTAACTATTAACTTACTGTATTATTCAGTCAAAATACTTATTGTCGGTTAGTGGTTAAACTTAATTATGCACATCCCTATCCCCACAACCCAGAAACTACTATTGTAGGTATACCACATGCCCCAGGTTTGCTGTGCTGGTTTAAAGTTGAATATGATATCTTTACGACTGTATGCGTGTATGATTTTTAAAGTCTGCTTTAAACATATCGGTTGTTTATCTGTGTGGTATTGACTGTAAAAAGGGCTTTGTATCTTCGTGGGAGTTTAGCTGTTGCAAAATAGTTTCCATTCAGTTCTGTTTTATAAGAAATACTATTAACATACACATTGCAAGTATTCAGTCTTTGTTTCTGTTATGGCACAGGAGGAAAACTTTGTTTTTAAATATATTTTATTGAAAAGAATGGTCAGCACATTATCAGAATAATACACAGTAAATGTGTCCACCTTCCATTTTTCATTTTCATAGTGAACAGTCCCTTCCATCAAAGCCCCACCACATCTCCCCCCATCCAACCCCCCAGCACCCCCCATGGAACTATTGTAACCAGGCAGACAATATGACAGAAATGTATAATGTGAGGTAAGAGATGACCCGAAGCGATTCATCACAGAAGGCAAAGTAGTTAAGGCAATTCAAACTGTAGTGCAAATGTGCGCATTTGGGAGTAAGTGCCTGAATAAGTTACAGGCAATAATGTCAAAGAAATTAAATTAACATAGCAGAATCAAAACAAAAGAAAATAGAAAATAAGAAAATGGGAAAAGAAAAAGAAACACTACAGTGACATTTCTCCAGGGGAGAGCTGGTTAACATAACTGATCAGTGGCTTCCAATGAGAATCAAATTTATCAGAGGAACCTCTGAGCGTGAACTTTATTTTCTCCCGTTTTAAGAGGAACAGAGTTTAAGAGGCACAGCCAGGCCTTAAATAAGTGATGTAAGGGTGATTTCCACAAAAACAGAATCTTCCGACGGGCGATCAGAGAAGTAAAAGTAATGGCATTCACCCTTTGACATTCAAGTCACAAGGGGTCTACTGCATCCCTCATCTAATCTGCCCGGGTAGATCTTGGTAAGCCTGGCCTGTAGTGAATTCTATGTACTGACACAGGAGGAAAACATTACTGAAGCAGATGTGTGACATGAAAGGCCATAATGATTTGAAATTTATAAACGGAACACTGAAATGTGACATTTAACCACTATAGAATACGTAATGTGTCTGCATTGAAAAATTTACTTTTTACGTTTTTTTGAATGTGTGCTTTGAATTAAGCTCTTTTGAAAATTTAAATTACATTATTTCCAAACATATAGGTTTTTTTCAGCTTTACAAATTCACATAGAACGTTCCAGTGTCCTAAGTTGGCACCACAGTGGCAGATTTAACTTTAATATCTTTAAAAGTGTTTATGAGTAATGTCTCCTTTTTTATCAGATAGGTAGTCAGAAACAGATTTTTATTATTCGTAGCCAAGTGGCTAATTAAGCTAATTATAGCTTCATTAGTCTATCGAAAATGATATCGACCTTCTTCCACAAATTTCTACCTGTATGTGGAACACGTATTTTGTGAAACTCACAGTTGGTATGTGTGTTGTAGATTTTCTGAGAAAGCTCAGTGCTGAATTTTGTGCTATTTGAACATATGATATTTTCAATATTAATAAAATATAAATAAACAGGCGACCAGCACTCTGTAGCAGGCAGTAGTAGTAGATGCCTGTTGCACAGCTCATTCCACACAGGCAGTTTCAGAAAGGGCACTGCACTACTTGTGCAAAAATAATATGGCTAAGGCTAATAGCTCAGCGTCTTCATGAACTACAGATCTCTGTATGTAGCATTGTTCTTTAGCTTTGTGACACAGGCGTCTGGGACCAGCCTCAGAACTTGTTAATAAGTCTTGGCTTTGGAAATACTGAAAGCTACTTCTTCAGATACCAAACCAGTTACCTGATCATGCTAGCTTTAGAGCAAATTAACACAAAGTTAATTCCATTTCTTATCCTTTAAAAGGCTGGGGGGAAAAAAACTTCTCCAAAACAACATCAAGTATTTCAAAACGTTTGTGCCGAGATAATGTTGCTACGCTATGATTCGACAATTTCTGCATGGTGAAGGGTTTTAGCAAGTTTAATTCAAATCACACACGGATGGTTTTAACAGATTTAATAGTAGAATAATCAGTAGAATTTGAATGGAACAATTTTGTGTTTTGCTGTGGTCAATCACCACGTAGATTCATTTGCTTGTAAGATTCAAATAATTCCAGCTTTTCTTTGCTTCCATATTTCGGGAAATATTGTTATGACAAGTCTGTTACCTTTATTTAAACTGTTATTATTTTTTGTCAAACTTAAGTTCTCATTTACCACATCTACTGTACAGTGTTTTTTCTTCGACTCAGTATTACATGCAGTGTTTGGAAATTACCACGTGTCTTTGAAAATAACTGTGCAAAAAGGTCTCAGATGGGTTCTGCAGTGAGAAATGTTTTATCACAAGTAGCCTTAACTGTGCTGCACTGGATTATAATCCACTTTCTTTTCTAGCTCTAATGCCAAACAGTATGACAATTAAGTATTTTACACTGTATAGGGATCACTGAGGGAGCATCAGTGATCCCAGACTAACTGCGTAAGCTTGTCTGACGGGTGTTGCTTCTTTAACTGGATCACAAACAGTATTTCTAACGCATAAAATGTTTTTCTTTTTTCTTTTATACGTTTTTAACAGGTATTGATCATATTTTATTGTAAACCTTAAGATATCAGCTTTAATGATTTTGGGATGTATTGATACTGTTTTGCTCACAAGATGGTTTGCTGTTTTAAATAACGACTGAATAAAAAGCTGTGTGAGTTGAATATATTTTGAGGATGTGTATGCCACTTATTTAAAGCAAGGTTATGGGTGTCATTTATGTCAACTTAGAGCATATAACATAAATTTACACTGTAAAAATATCAGATTGACATCTGGAAATGAGATGTTTCAGAAGATGATTAGATGATTGTCTGGTTGAATTGGTGAGACTCAGAGTTAATTTAAAAAAAAAACATTAAAAGATTTCCACAAAGACAAAAAGTTCTGAGTCATAAGAATGGAGGATTTTAATGATAATTAAGCACACTGTTACAAACAAGTGAAGAACTAAAAAAAAACATTAAAAGATCTGAAAGACTCCACAAAGAGTTACATCTGGTAATAAAACAAAGTACACATTTTAAAAACATTGATACCATGACTAATAAAACACTGAGTTTCTTGAAATGAGGCAAACAACTGAGTTGAATTCTAACAAAAGGTTTTATGGAGCAATGCCCAGAAAAGACCCCAGAGGAAAGCTTTTGGCAAAGTACAGTAGACAGTATCCTCTTGGCATCACTACAATGAGTTCTAGCCAAGTGACAACCCACCATGACATCACCTGTTTTGGCCATATCCATATTTGGAGCCTGACTAAGAGCTSGAGGACACGGCACACACTACCACCTGCKCCAGTCTGATAGAGCCCAAATGAAGTGGCTTCTCTCCCCTCTGTTCCACCCACCTCTCCACTCTCCTCAACAGGTRGAGGCAGATGGCCGCCCAGATGTGTTTGGMTCTGTTGGCYGCTTCKTCCAGTTTTTTTCTCTCCACAGTRGCCAATCCGGGAACTGTTGGGTTTCTCTATAATATTGTKKGGTMTCTGTTATGGAKGTTTTCTGGYGGCTGGTGAAAGKAGAACTCAGYCAGCAGCTGATGTCTGATGCAGAAGATTTTAACATAGACTTGATGCATCAAGGAGACCAGAAGGTGAAACAATATCCAAACACTAACAGAGTAACATGAGCAACTGTCACCCCCAAGTCTGAAGATGTCTCCCAWATATCTTCCTCTACTTGTGTCACCCAGCACATCCATGAGTGGATAGAATTGCTGTCACTCTCTATGTTACATGTAGATGTTTGRATCCTATTMGATAGTTAAGTCTAAATATGCATTCCTAAYTCACATTGTGTCCTTATSTCTTGCCACTAGTGTCTCTGTCTGGCACATCTGAATTAGATATGAAAGTCCCTAAGCATAGACAATACTAAACCTGACCTTGGGTACTGCTTGGAGAGAGAAGGGAGTATCTGTGGAATGAGACAGCCACTACTTCCTGTACAGCTATAGTGTGATATACACTATATACATAATGTATAGTGGCATATACAGTAATYTGTGAGGTTGAGCAKAAATTCCTCAATGGTCTCMATRTTAAAATCTCYTAAAGTCCCTTGAAATCATGTATGTTGGGATTTGGCGCTARGCAAATAAAATTTAACTGAAGAGATTTAATATTTCTTACACTGCAGGMCCACATTGCAGTGCTGCACACACATAATGAATACAACAATCTCATGGGGAAATAGCAGGAGAACATGATGACCAGCCTGCACAACAACATCCAAACCCTTTAGGATGACCAGGAATGCTGGGTGGGAGCAAATCCCTGAAGAAAAAACCGCAAGTACAGGAAGTCCATCCATAGTTTTTTATTATTGTAAATATATGTACAGATTATTTACATTGTATATAAATATATATATGTGAAGACAAGTTGAGAACATGATCCGATGATCAGCCACAGAGAACATTTGAACACTTAATAATAACCTGACAAAGGTTAGCTTCTATGACAACAGTGMTTCAGTGCCATTACATGGCGGCTGGTGCAGAGTCTGTGATGCGGCCGCRTGTTGAGTTCAAGGTATTTGTTTGACTGGAGCTCGTCGTCATGATCACACGTCTCTTGTTCTCCTGCCTGAATCAACAAATGACYCTGTTAGTTAAAAAGRYATTRGAATGTGAAGCAGCCACAGTGTTGTGTGAGACCCCTTCRCTGCAACAAGACRGTGTCATGTTGTCAGATGTTTCTACAGTCGAGCTGGACTTACTTTTTTTTGTTCATCAGAATTAATTTTCCAAGTTGTGACAGTGGATCCACGCATTTCTCCTCTTCTTTAATGGTGCTGTGAGAGAAACACGAGTCATGTTAAAGAAACCCTGGTGAATGGCACGTGAATGTGAAGTCATTCAGGTCATCTACTCACATAATAATCTCCGTTTGATCGCAGAAGCTGTTTGGTGGGTTTATGACTGGCTCTGACTTYATATGCCGCACGAAGTGTTTGGTGACCTGGCCGATATAACCGTTTAAGCACTTGCATTTTCTGGATCTGCTGTCCGGCATTCCTGTGGGAAGAGGAGACAMGCATTTAGGACTAGGTTAAAGGTCAGCTCACCAGACTGTACTGAAGCCTGATAACACCAATAAATGGCATTCTGCAATTCTAGGATAGAGCGAATGATATTGCCTATTTTGTTTCCGGAATTCCGGATTATTGGCCAAGTGTCATAAACAGATTTTCGTTTTCTGTGAATAAAATGACATTTTCTGATTTAGTACAGTACCTTGAGCACAGAGGACAAGCAGGCAGCTGAGGAAGGTAATAGTGGATGAGTTCATGGTTGTGGCTGTAGTCAGGTTCTGGCTCTCCCTGTAGTGTCTCTCTTCAGTCTGGACTCCTGGTGATAAACAGCACAGAAAGTGTCATCCTTTTATACGCAGGGAATCCAGGGCATGAGTAGCAGCACTTTCACTTTCACTGTCCCTTCCCTTTTCTTCAAGTAATACTTTTTCCCGGAATCAGAAAGCTATTCTCTAGAAAGTTTGTTTCAGTGAATCATTGTGTTAAAATCTGCACACAAAGCTATTCTGCGGTGGGGGCGTGACCAGTCAGAAACAATATGTATATGTAAAATGAATGAATGATCTTCTTTTCCTGATAATTGTTAAAGACGGATGGAAATGTAAAAACAAGCAAACAAACGAGCAGGGACGAAAACTTTCCAAAAAAAACCATTGCCTGACTGGGGTATGTAACACATGCAGGCTATACATCACTCCTCTATATATTTTCTGATTTGGTTGCAAAAAGACATAGATGTTGCTATTTTTAATGTATATTCCAATCTATCAGACTAGAAAAATGATTACATTTGAGCTCATCTAGTGACAGATGAAAAGTTAGCTACAACCCAGGTTGGAATCAGTGAGGGGCACTGCAGGTAAATAAACCCACYTCCTCAAGATAAATTGATTTGTCCAAATGAGGCTTAAAGGTCTCCAGACTCATGAGCAGCTGTGTGAGGCTGTMCCTTTAGTGTTTGAGCTAAATGCTAAGAACCATTGCAAAAAAGCATTAAATAAGAGGTCAAACTTAAGCTGATGGTAATGTCACCAGATTTTTTAAAGAGTTTAAACAAAAGTAACACAAGTTAGCAAGTAAAAAAGTTATATAAAAAAATACAGTAATATAAAACTGTTTACTCCTCCATTAAAGACATGGAAAAGCATCAGATTATGAAGAACTAATCACATCATGAGGAAGCTAGAATCCTAAACCTAAAGGAGAAATTAGAAAACATAGATTCACATACTCAATAAATGAACACAAAATAGGTTTCATGTGGGATACTCTTGTCAAAGTAAATTCTTACTGTTTGTAAAAACACTGCTCCAACAGAAGATTTACCGAACCTMGAGTTCAAATTGAAAATATTCCTTTTTGAGAAAGGTCAGAGATGTGAGCTACTGCAGCAGAGTTGGGTTGAGCACGCCACATAGGTGATGATGACCATTAGCATTCATGATATGGTGAAAGTCATTAGCTGTGTCTCAATTCACAGACTACATCCTTCAGAGGCTGCATTTGAAAACCGATTGCATCACAGCAYCGTGACCAGGCTGTCCAGTTTCAAAGGGTTTCTTCAAATGTCTGACCCAACCTTTCCCAAGAGCCACTGCGCTTCAGTGATAAACCCTATTTTAAAGAGGTTATGGTACCAGTCCAATGTGTCAGGTTTCAACTTAAAGGTACAGTGTGTAGAATTTTGTGATATCTAGTGTTGAAGTGTCTTGTTGACTCAAAAGGTGTTTAGTTTGTCCAGTCTGGACTAATGTAAAAAAAACATGGCGGCTTCCATAGAGAGGGTCCCCTTGATGTAAATATAAAGTATTTAAATATAAAGGACCTTTTCTGGGGTAAAGAAAACTACAATTCTGACAATTTAGATGAAATGTATGGAAGCCTGTTCCCGTCACAAAAAACTAAAAAAATCATTATTATGAGATTAAAAGTCATAATTATGAGATAAGAAGTTATAATTATGAGATAAAAAGCCATAATTATGAGATAAGAAGTCGAAAATATGAGGTAGGAAGTGCGCATGCGCTGCAGGAGCTGTCTTCAGAGGTGCCTTCATCATTATCACTGCCAGAGCTAAACATGAATAAGTTAGCGAATGTTACATTGAATTGTGAAGTATTTTAATCAGTCCGAAATTGGTAAAATTATGACATACTTTCTCAGAACAGATTAGTAGCAGCTTTTAAACAATTTGACACGGTAATGGATTGTGAGTACATTAAGGACTACTTGAATGTGGCTTTAACACAGATGAAATACTTAATTTGCTTGCTGAATTACATGGGAATGTACTAAGCAAACGCATCCTTGAAAGGATTTTAAGCAAGAAACAGCTCTGGCGGAGAAATAATAAAACTGATGTGGCTGAGGTGGCAACTTTCATTGAACAGCAACTAGAAACATGTGGTCGGTGTCATGGTGACCGATGGATGCACCAAAAATGTTGGTTACATGGAATCGTGACTGACAGAGAAACAACAGCTATTGGATAGTGAAGGTGTTGGTCTGAGGTCAAGAAACAGACTGCGAAGACGTGTTTACCACAGCTGTGGTACAAACTATGTATGGCACATCGATGACTACGACAAGCTTAAGCCATTTGGAATTGCAATCAGCGGATGCATTGATGGTATTCCAGAAAGATGATATGACTTGAAGCTTAGAAAAAGAAACAGTGACCCAAAGATCACAGCTGGCTACTTTATGGATGCTGTGATCAATGGGGATGGGTGTCCTGTCAGACTCAGACTGGATTTAGGAACAGAAAATGGCCATATGGCTGAAATGCAGCGGTTTTTGCATTTTCCTGCAAACCAAGCAGAAACAGACAGTTTAATCTTTGGTCCAAGCACTGGAAACCAGCGAATTGAACAATGGTGGCTGACCTTGCAAAGTGAGTGTGTCCAGTTTTGGATAGACCTATTTGACAAACTGAGAGAAGATGGCTACTTCTCAGACAACTTCTTGTACAAGTCCTTTATCCAGTTTTGTTTTTTTTCAAACAATACAGGTACAGTAGTACACACATTATGAGATAAAGAAATTATCATGTGTAAAAAATTATTGCCTGTGTTTGTGCAGAGAAAGATTAATAATTAAGTTATGGTTTTTGGTTTGAAAAAATAATGTGGGTTGTGGTATTCCAAGTAGATCTGCATCAAACAAGTAGGCATCATTTAAGAATGTACCAGTGTAATGAATAGCATGGCATAATAGCGTAACAGCCCCTTTACATTCAAGGTTCCTCCACTTCATATTGGTAGCTGTGAGAATAAAACATTCATTGCACTGCTGTAAATTACGTTTTGCAGGTATTCAAATTAGTGTGCCAACCCACTATGTTATGATCAAAACAAATCTCACAGTCAGGACTACTTGACTTAGACAGTAGTCTAAGGCATAATTGACAATTTGTTTCTCCTTGGCATTCTGGGTAGTAGGGTAAGTAATTGATCTCATGATCTTGGCTGTAGTTCTTCATAGACTGCTGCAATCCCTTTCAGCTATGATCTAACAGGTGCAAGCATGTTGCTCCACTGTTCAATGACAAAAGCAGGCTCTTGAATCAGTTTTTGGTGAGCAAGCTCCCTCAAGATTTGCTCAATCACAGTTGTGGATATCCATGATTTCCAACAATTCCTCTTGGTCAACACATTCAAAATCTGAACAACAAGATTCAAAGGTCACTCGCTCAGACTCAGAGACATACTTGAGAAAGTTGTCCACAAGATCACTCTCCACACAGCCCAAAACAGCTTGCTCCAGAAGTGCGGGTGCAATTTTTATAGGAAGGTACTTCTCCTTCTGCCAGTCAAATGTAACGATTCGGCCTACACTTTCCCATTCTTGTTTATCAAAATCGTGACGTAGGTATGGCACTTTGCATTTCCCATGGTGCACTGCTCATAAAAGTCATTCCAAAATTCTGACAGTACATTCCTCAAAACGCCTCCATCATCCACAGCCTTTTCAAGCTTTCCATCTGGAAGAATAACTTGAAAATTCAAGTCATACTCCATGATACTTTGCTCAGAAAACACTTGAATAAGTTCTCTAAGAATCTGACCACGATGAAGAACAGTCATTTTCTTGACTCTCTCTCTTTGACTGGCTTGTTCCTGCAACATATCCATGGAAGGAGGCAAGAGTGATTCCATGGACAGTTCCAGAGAGAGAGGCAAGGTATCATCAAGACTGGAGGACTCCATCCCAGAGATGCTTTCTGTGTGAAAAGTCACAATTCCACTATCCTCTAATGCACTAACATGAAATAACGTTTCATGTTCTGGCAAATTAGATGCATCAGTTATGTCGACTGTGGTGTATAGAAGGGATACACTTTCACTGCTTGCATTTACAAATACTGTGCTGCTTCCAACAAAAACAACATCTGAGTACTTATCCCCTCAGCGTCGGTTGCAGAAGTGTCTGGAGAGTGGCAATAGATATCAGGTCTGTTATGTGTCTTTTCACCTTCTTGTGCAGTTGCAATACACTGGTATTGTCTCTTTTCTTGGTTGTTAAATAGAAACGTAAGAGAGGTAACTTTGTCTTTTCATATAGTTCCCCAACTCTGATACTATCATCTAATGAATGCTGCTGAAAGTCAGTTAGAGTAATGTCTCCATCCCTGTTGAATAAAATTGAAGCTTAAATATACCTAAACAAATTTAAAATGTGTACAAAATCATTTTTCTTCACAGCCAATGTCATGTTTAAATAAGACAAAACCTCTTACTATGCTATAAATTATTCACCTTAGAAGGAAGGTAGCTTTATTACCTTTTGTTATCTTTTATATTTCTTTTAAAATAAAGTTCTTGGATTTCTAATTTTCTATAGCTGGCCTATGATATTATGACAAATTCACACTCTGAACCCTAGGGGCTTTTGGACCACTTTTGGTCCCCCTGGATTTATATGCTATAAAGCTTGTATAACATCAGCCCTGTAATGCATAGTCAGGTTATAACAAAGTTTTTTTTTTCAGGACAACCTGGGCTCTAAGAATATTTGTGCTGCAGTGTCATAAACTGAAAAACATAAAACATGTGTTACATTATCCGTAGACTTTTCAACATACTGTAGGTGTTCATACATGTATGCTAGTGTTGTAAGGCTGGCATAGTGCCTTTCAGGAATAGGGCGGTGCGTGAGTTGTGTGTGCATAAGGTGTGAGTTGGCGAGTGAAAGAGAGAGCGTGCATTCATGTGAACGGTGAATGCATGCGAGAGGAAGGAAAGCGAAGGAGGTAACAGTAGTAGCAACAGAAATTAATGTACAGTACAGCCTGCAGCTTTGCTGTGA